AAGAGATCAGAAACCAAGAAAAGTCAACACTTACTGAACATTCTTAGGATTCCTTCTAGTTTCTCCAAAGGATTGTGGTGACTCTGTCACTATAGCAACCATGGAACAGAACAGCCCACACAATTTAGCCAGCTTGGGATTCAAAGGTGATGCCTTATGGCACACCTTGGCACAAAGTGGGACAATTTTCTGAAAATATGCAGGACTACCCGAGTCCGGAGAGTGCAGAGATGACATGGTCTGTGTAGCTTGGGAGTTAGACTGTCTTACTCCACCCCACATTGCTGGTGCCTCTGTGAACCTTTAGACCCAGCGGTACACATGAGAAAGAACCTTGTCAAGTGGGGAGATCTTAGATACTCTAGACTGTGGTGTGGCTTCTTCTCACCCAGGAGATGCTAAACATGTGCCAGATGTTGGTACCCAACATTCTGACCATTTTTAAACATTCAGTATATTAGCATTAAGCCCATCCACAACGCCAGACAGCTACTATCTTATTGTCCACTTCTAGAACCTTCACACCACCCCCACAGGTTTTGTACCCATTAAGTAGTTCCCCATCCTCTTTCTCCATCACAAACTCCTGGAAAGCTGGGCTGTGCTCTCTAGCTCTTTGGATTTCTCTACTGAGATAAAGTACCTCCCCCCACACACACTACTTGTTCTTTGTGTCTCGCTTATGTTAGTTCACTCATGTTGATGTGTCTGAATCTCATTTTTTAGAGCTCAGTAAGTAAGAATCACTTTTTTTAAAAATCCATTTATCTGCTGATTGGTACTATCTTGAATAAATAAATATGAAGACTAGAAATGTGCTTCAATTGTTATAAAAATGTACAGTTGAGCTATTTAGGGACTTTTCTAATGTCACTTCTAGAAAGAGACTGGGATTAGGTCTTGGAGAATTCACTGTGCTGCTTAGTTGTGGGTCATTTTCATACTGTGTGAAGATGTATTGCTGTGGTTAGTGTAATAAAATCTGAACAGCCAACAGCTGGAAAGAGGTTAGGCGGGACTTCCATGGACAGAGAGGATTCTGGGAAGAAGAAGGGCAGGGTCATTAGCTAGACAGAGTGGAAACAGGAAGTGCAAGATAAAGAGAGGTAACACCATATGATAGAATGTAATTAATATAAATGGGTTAATGTAAGTTATAAGAGGTAGTTGAGACATGTCTAAGCTGAAGGTCAAACTTTCAGAATTAATAAGAAGTCTCCATGTAGTTATTTGGGGTAGGTTGTGGAGAAGAAAGTCTGTCTACAAGTTATGATTATCTACTCAATTATACTGAAACTCGGAGGGGTTAGTGAAGCGTACCATCGGGTGTATCTGTGATGATGCTTCCAAAGACGGAAGACTTTGGCCTGGTGGATGAACTCATTTCTTGATGGATTAATAACGAAAGTACCATCAGGGGCAGTGCAATGCCGGAGGTGGGTTCTTAGGGCTGTCACCCTGGCCATTTCCCAAACGTTTCTTCTTTCTGCTCCCTGTCTTCTAAGAAGTGAAGCGACTTCTCTGTGACATGCCCAGTGGTCTGTTCAAGAGCAGAGTCCATGGCTGAGCCACATTCTTCTCCCCTCGAGTTGTCTCTGTTAGATGTTTTGGTCCAAGGGACACGGAAGCAATGTACTCATGTGCATGGTAATCCTGGAGCAAGAATCATTGTTACACTCACATGTGTAGGGAAATCATGGCGGATGAATAATCTTTGTGCTGTTTTTGCCTTTGCCAAGGTTTTATTATTCATTTTTTCTCCCGTTAACTCAGCTCTGTGTCGTGCACGTTTAGGTGACAGCTTTAATGCTGATTCAAGCTGGGCAGAACCTTCCAACTCCTAAGACTGTAGCTATTTTGTAAGTATCACTTATCCTGGGCTTTGAACATGAAGATCAAAATGGTTCTAGGGTAGGTTACCAGTTAACCAAATGCTTTGACCTCTCGTTCCTTTAATGTTGGTACCAAATTAGCTTTTCCTTGGGATGTCTAAGGTATACCCCAGACCTACAGGAACCAGGTAACACATTTAGCACTCACTGTAAATGGGTCTCACAAGTTGTCAGAACTGTGTGAAATCTCTCCCAGAGATAAGCCCCCCTGGCTGATGCCCTTCCCTTCTCCCTCAGGAGATTCCTGGGAAATTCTTTTTCTGGAGTCTACTGTTTCAACAGTGTGAGAGTTAAACTGAGAGACTAGAGTTTCTTCTTTAGAGTATCTGCATCTCCACCAGATCAATCACAGCTGAGCCACGTGCTGAGTGAAAACAGGTCTGCCAGCAAGACTGCGCACACTATCATGCAGAAATGCTTTTCGCCAAGACCCTGGGGCAGAAATTGGATTTGTTTGTGTTTGTCTCAATAATAGGCAACCTATTGAATTAGTAACAGTGGAGGGGAGACCTGGATCTTTGCAGTATTTTGCACCGCTAAGACTCTCAGAGTAGCCAACTCCTTCGGGGATGAGAATGTTTCTTGTAGGGGCTGGAGAGATGGCTCACTGGGTTAAGTGCATACTGCTTTTGAAGAGAACCTGAGTTCAGTTCCAAGTTGGGTTCCCAGCACCCAAGTCAGTCTGCTCATGTCTAGAACTCCAGGTCCAGAGGATCTGACCTCTCTTCTGGCTTCTGAGAACAAACTTGCTCTCACATGCACATTACTTACCCCCTGCCTATAACTGAAGATAAAAAATAAAGCTTAAAATTGTTTCTTCTAGTCTCTCTTTAAAATGTGGTGTTTGTATCCTTCTGGACGTGCCGTAAGGTAGGGCAGTGAGATAGAGATAATCTTATAGTCCACGTGGTGGGGCACAGGCATTAGGCTGAGACTCCACCCTAATTTGCTCCCTACTACCTTAAGGACTTTAGTTAGTTCTGCTCTGGGAGCTAAAGTTTCCTTGGCTATACAATTGCCTTCCTTGTGGTCTCAGGCAATATAATGAAAGCCTGAAACTGCACAAGGGCATAGCACTGACTCACCCAGGACGGCTCAGGAATGGCAATAAGAACCACAGGAGCCATGGCTTTGCCTCGGAATTGACAGCAGACCCAGGACGGCTCAGGAACGGCAATAAGAACCACAGGAGCCATGGCTTTGCCTCGGAATGGACAGCAGACCCAGCAGCTGTCATTCACTGACAGATAAAATGAAGAAATAAAATTTTGCTCCTGGGAAGGCCTCAGAAATATTCTGAAGGTACACTGCTAGTCTGTCCTAGAGACACTAGCAGTGGGCATGGAGAGAAGACAGTGAAAGGTAAGAGACCTTGAACTTTTCAAAGCAGAGCAGATTGTAACCAAACCAAACCAAAGCTACTGACTAACTCAGGAACAAGTCTGTAGCCATCACAGTCAAGGAACAGGACCTGAGGGAGACTGTCAAAGCCTCAATACCTTTGCTCAAGTCAGGCCATTAATATGCCATAAGATGAATCACAACATTCCTTTTTAAAAAACTGAGACAGATCACCCACCTCACTTGGCTCCTGTCTAGGACGGAACACTCTCTCCAGAGGCTGTGTAGGGTCCACATTCAGTTGGCTTTGGCTACAAATAGCAGAATCTTCACACTGGGATTTCAGATTGCAGCCTTTGCATTTCAGCCACAGAACTAAGGACCAAGGCAAGTGGAGGAAGCAGGTCCCGGGGCAGGCAGGAGCCCAGATCTCTGGGGACAGGTATGACATGAGTGGGAGCCAAGGCTGGATTCAGTGGCCCCTCATGTTTAAACACCATGGGGAATTTAGCATTGGCTTGGTTGTTGGTCACTAGTTAATGCAAGTGATTTACATTTTCAGATAATTGTCTCCAAGTCTATAAAAAGGACCCAAGGAGTGAGTTTTGAATGGTGAGTCTATAGCCATCTCATTTTCCAGGACGGTCAAGGGGGTGCTGCAGGAGAAAGGAGCTGTGTCTGTAAAAGGGGAGGTGACTGGAGAGGGCTAGAGAGAGACAACCTGGAAGGGACTGGAGAGCCCAGCAACTGGAGACAACCTCTGGTACATACGAGGGACTGAAGGGGACATCAGCTGGGGGGCAGGAAGACTGTCTGGTCCGATGCATAGGCTAAGGTTAGGCTAAGCATGCCGTGTTTCTGATCTTAAACCAAGGGATGGCCCACAGCCAAATAGAGAACAGATACAGGAGACTCACTGGTTGCAGGTGTGAATTTGTCCTCGGCTTTTAGAGTAATCACTTAGAGGCAAAACCACCTGCCTGGCTTACATACTTCTCTGTTGCTGTGGTACGAAATCACAACCAAGACAACTTACAAAGAACTGTTTATTTGAGCTTACAGTTCCAGAGGGCTAGCGTCCATGATGGTCATGGTAGGGAGCATGGCAGCAGGCAGGCATGGCATGGGAGTGGTAGTTGAGAACCCACATGCTGAGACAGAGCTGTGAGGCAGAAAGAGCTACCTGGGTCTGGTGTGGGCTTTAGGAACCTCAAAGCTAGTGATGCAACGCCTCCAACAGGGTCCCAGCTCCTGATCCTTCCCAAACAACTCCATTAACTACAGATCAAGATTCAAACGCTGGGGCCTCTGGGGGCCATTTGCCTTGACACCAACTCAATGCCTTTGCTGGACTCAGTAACTTGGGTGTTGATCTAATGAAACAAAGATGAATCAACCCCAAAGGTGAATGCCTAAACAATGCTGAGTTCTTAGGAGCTGGACGACAGAAGATGGCATTCCCACTCTTCAATATCATTAAAAATGTTCCAGTACAGAGCCCTGCAGGCCCCTAGGACAGAGGAGTTTCTGGTTTGTAACTAATGACACATTGCTCACACAGAATGAATCATGCTGGTTTACATGTAGAGTAAACTCTAGATTTCAGGGGCATATTGCTACTTACCAACAAGGATCAAATGAAGATCTGGGGTAAATTATTTCTCACCCTTAGAAAGTACCTGATTTAACAAGAAGACAAAACCTGATGGATCCGGAAGCCACAGAAATGTCTGAGAGAGAGCGAGAGAGTACAGGAATGTCACGAGGTGTTGGGGTGCACAACTTTAATCTCACTACTCAGGAGGCAGAGGCAGGTGGAATCTTTGTGAGTTGGAGGCCAGCATATTCTACATAGCAAGTTCTGGAAGATGGGCAGTTCTGGAAGATGGCCAGCCAGAGTTCTATGTCACCAGATCCTGTCTTTTCAAAAAACAAAGAGAGGAAAAAAGAACAATCCATTTTCTGAGGTATTCCAAACACCTTATTACATCAGGAGATTGAGGCTGGGGGATTAACATAAGTTTGAGGCCAGCTTTGGCCATAAAGTGAGACCCTCAAAAACTTTATTCTAATTATTGTGGTATTGTTTTTCTATAGAGAAAGCAAGTTTGCAATGTGACTTACTTCACATGCTGAGATGTTTTCTATGTTCTTCTGCCTTCGATTTCTTTTTCTTGGTCTCTAAAAATAAAAAGGGCAGGAGTTCAGGTCGATGCCCACCTGTTGACTTTTCACAGAAAAGCCAATTTTAGCATCGAGGTTTTCTTTAATTTGAGGAAATCTGTGGTTTGAAGGCAGTGCTTACAGAGACTTGAAGCAAGCAGCTTAGTAACTAGTTACTCAAGTAATGTAGTTTTCAGTTATTATGAAGTCCAAGCTATCAGTGAGTGATTTAAAAGGGGACATCCTCAAAATATAGTCAAAACTGAGAGAAGAATCTAACTGTGGAAGGGGTGTGTGTGTGTGCGTGTGCGCGCGCGCGCAACGTATTTCCAGCACTGCAGACTGAATGCACTTATGTGCTTTGTACCGAGCTGCATCTCCTGTCTCTTTTTATTTATAAGTTTTTGGAGATGGCACCAAGTTGCCTCCAGGCAGCCCAGGCAGGCTTTGAACTCGTAAGCACCGTGATCAGCCTCTTGAGTAACGTTTTTAAAGCAGAGATTATAGAACAACACGCTGCTTATAGTATTTCCCCAGTGATTTCCACACTTACGTGTGCTCAATGAGACAGTGATGGGGTGGGGTGCAGGGGGAGATGCAGGGAAATGTGCGGATGGAAGAGGACACCCTGTCATCTATCTGCCATCTTAGTCAAGGGTGAGGTGATGTGTGCTCTTCACTCTCAGGCACCTGTGGGGCTTGGTTTCTGCTCTCACTGATGCTCAAGGCTCTTGTATAAAATGGCAGACTTTGCATATAACCCACACCTTTCTTCTGTACAGCCACACTTTAACCTGTCTGCAGTACTTGTAAAATACCATATATAGTCCTGTGTGGCATTGTACTGCTCTTTAAGGAATAATGATAATGTATAGGGTTAGCATTTTATTTCTGAATATTTTATTCTGTGGTTGGTTAAATCTGATGTTGGTTAAGTCTGTGGGTGAACCTTGAACCTAGGAGAGATGATGGTATTTGAGTGGAACTGAAGGTCATAATGTATAAACACAGTGTTTACATATGAACCAGTGTATCAAACTGAAGAAAGGTGGACTGAATGACACCCAGCACAGATTACTTCTGTGTCAGAGATGAGATCACATATTATACTTGCAAAGTGAAAAATAAGAAAGCAAATGTTCTAAGTGTAGGCTGGTGTGGTGACGCATGCTTCAATCTCACCACAGGGGCAGAGATGAGACCCCCCAGAGACCAGAGTTAATGTGTCACTGGCTACATAGTAATTCCAGGCCTGCCTGGGTTACACAGTAAGACTTACTCTCAAAAACCAACACCAACCAACCAGACGGAACATTCTTGAACAACAGTGAACTACTCTGGGAACAGGGAAAGCCTCCCAGGCATACCTGACAATTCAGAATTACCAGGTTTTGCTAGGGTTTGATTTCAAAGAACCACTCCAGGTCTCAGCTGTGAGGATGTGATAGGCAGGGAAGCCCACCATGGTGCAGAAACATCACCAGCAGTGATTTTCTCAGTCACTGACAATTTCCTGAACCCAGTGAATCAGGATTCTATTTGGTACGGGATGGTGTACACTTCCTGAACATTTCTGGGGCTGGGTTACAACTGGGTTCTGAGGGGCTTGCCACAGGCAGTGGTGTAGATCTAGAAAGAAGGAAGACATCGCTGTCCATCCTCCAGAACACCCTGTGGGCATGAATAGACCTTTTCCATGTATGTCCTTGCAGTCTGGATGGGCTGAGGACGAGGGCTTTGGACGCTGGAAATCCTTATCTCAAGAAACAAAGGGTTGCAGCTCCTTCCAGGAAGCCCTGCCACCCTGTTTCCATCTTGGAAGGTGATGGCAATTTCTTGGGCTAATTGAAATTGAAATGTTTAGCCCCTTCTTAATTTAACTGGAGTGCTCTGAGTTCCTGAAATTACATTTTTAATTGTATAAGGAAATGGATCATTAATGACATAATTCTCCATACGTGGGGTTACACTCTCTCCTCACTAAAGAGTAGTTTATAGCATGTGTGCTGTGTTGAGATGCTTTGAGGTAAAAGATCCAGTCATTATGTGCCTGGCTGTTTTATTAGGATTACAATACCAGAATGCTTATTTGGCTGCTAAAGAAACATCCGTAAGGAGGGGCTCGGCATGCTGCCCCCATCATCTGTTTTTTTATTTATTTTAAAAATGTTATTATAAAACCACAGTCCACATTCTGGAACTCAGCAGAAGTGGTGTTATTCTCAAACACAGGGGTGGCGCACACTAGCTTTGTTTACTTGTTCTTAGTTTGATAAGGGGCGTGAACAGACACCGGGCACTCTTCAGTGTTTTCTCCCGTCATTTCCCGTCCCCTCTGACAGGAACCAGCCTTTCTGTTCCACAGGAAACACCGGCTTTCTGGTGTTTAAAACTTCTTTATAGAGATTCACAGATTTTTGTCCTATGGAGTCGGTCTCCACCCACCCGGGAACTAGGGTTATAGGTGTGTGCCACCACGCTTGGCTGTTCACAGGGCACTAGAGGTGGATTCAGGTCCTCACGTTTACACAGCAGGCACTTGACTTACTAAGCTATCTACACACACACACACACACACACACACACACACACACACACACACACGAGACTAATACGCTGCCAGCCATGGAAATAGGAATGCAGACATTCCAAATTCTTAGTACAGTAAACCTAGACCATAGAAAACAAGCAACAACAAGCAGATGCTAGCCGGACACAGAAGGGAATCCATATCAAACCTGCACTGGAAGCAGTTTCTTATGGGGAATACCTTGATCCCAAGACAGAAGCCACATCTAAGGACCTGTAAGGAGTAATGGCATGAGTCCAGCTGAAGGGAAGTCCCCAGGTGTGATCTTGGGGTACAGACCCTATGCTGATGAGACTTTCAGCATCTTATTGTTGCCTCAGGCTCTGGATTCATTTATTTTCTAACAGGTGGCTTTCAATGTGCGGCTCTGCAACCTGCAGAAGGGATGATAAACTGTTATTGCCACAACAACATTGATGCCAAAGATGGCAGCAGCCGTACAGCGCACAATCAAAATGAATTCTCACTGCAGACTGCAACATGGATCCGGCTGATGGGTCAAGTGCCTTCAGCAGTATGCGATGCAAAGACTGTCCAGTAACCAACTCTGTCGATGTACCCAACACCTGACAAGAAGCAACTAAAGGAAGAAGGGCTGGCTGCGGCAGCAGCGTGAGGCGGCTGGTCGTGGTGAGTATCAGCAGGTAGGAAGCAAGGAGAAGACAGGAAGAGGCCAGCTTGTCAGGACTTTAAGGTCCACCCAGTGATCTCACTTCCTCCAGGAGGCTCCACCCCCTAAGCTTGCCATGGGAGACAGTCCAAACCACAACAGGAGCATACCCTGGCTCCCTGTCACCCTTGTCAGGACTTTCTCACTGTTAAGCCTAGGTGCAGGAGGACACTGAGAAAGCTGTCCACAGACTTACGCCAACACTGGAAGAAGACAGCACTTCTGGTAGTGATTCTCAACCTTCCTAACGCTGAGACCCTTTAATACAGCTCCTCATGCTGTGGGGACCCCAACCATAGAACTATTTCATGGCTACTTCATAACTGTAATTTTGCTAGTTATGAATTGTAATGTAAATATCTGACATGCAGGATATCTGACATGTGACCCCAAAGAGCTCTCGACCCACAGGTTGAGAACCACTATGCTACAGGACCATGGGCAGGATGCTGCAAACACACCTGCTGGTGAATGGCTTCCTCCTCATTCAGTGACTCTGTGCTCAGCAAACTTCAGCCCCACACAGCATTCCTCCCAGGATGCCTTGTGGCTTCCTTCTGCTTCCCTTTTCCATTGCAAACCAGTTCCGGGAGAGATGGCTCAGTGCTTAAGAGCACGTGGTACCTTGGAAGAGGGCCTGAATTTGTTTCTCAGCAACCATATCAGGAGCCTCACAACTGCCCGTGACTCTAGTTCCAGGGGATCAGACATCCTCTCCTGGCCTCCACAGATACTACACACACTGCATACACTTATTCAGACACACAAATAAAAAATAAAAATAAAAAATTCTTAAAAGCACTCAAGAGCATAGAAAATATCAGTAGATATTCTAGCTGTGATGAAAATCTTCATCACCAAACTGAGTGAATTAGTAAATACCCAGGCATTAGTGAGGCATACTTTGGCTGTTCGTGAGGGCAGTTCCTGAGAGGACAAGTTGGGGAACGAGACCTACCCTACAGGTGGGCGTCACCATCGCACCATTGGGGTCTCAGACAGAACAAAAAAAAAGAGGAAGCCAGCTGAGACTAGCAATGTCCTTTCCGTGCTCTGACCCTCTCAGCTGTGAGGAAAGAGCTAAGGCTTCCGCTACCATTGCCAGGCTGCTCCTGCCTCCATAGTCACTGCCGAACAAACCCTCCCTGAAGTCACTCTTGGTCACACCAACAAGGAAAGTCCTGAACACACCAGCCACACCATCCCACCTTTGCATCGTTTCTGTGGCTCCATCCCTGAACTTCTGGTTAGCACATAAAGACTTCAGTGTGATTTTCCTAAGAACAGCCCAGGTAAGTACAGGCAACCAACACACACCAAGAGAACAACACTTAATACCTTAAAACCTAATACCTCCTGTCCTATATTCAAATCTGTCTCTTAAAAGATATCATTTGTGATTGCGTGTGTGCATGTGTGTACACACACACATGCTTGTGTGTGCATGTGCGTATGCATGGTGTGTGTGTGTGTGCACTCACATGGTGCATGTGTAGGCCATAGGTCAGCCTTAGCTGTCTTCCTTCAGACATTGTCTACTTTTTTTTTTTTTCTCCGAGATAGGGTTTCTCTGTATAGCTTTGCGCCTTTCCTGGAGCTCACTTGGTAGTCCAGGCTGGCCTCGAACTCACAGAGATCCGCCTGCCTCTGCCTCCCGAGTGCTGGGATTAAAGGCGTGCACCACCACCGCCCGGCCATTGTCTATTTTTTTGAAGCCAGGTCTCTCGTAACCCTGAGCTTGCCAGGTTGACTGGGCAGCTGAACCGTGAGCCCCAGGATTCCTCTGGCCCCACTTCTCCAGAGGGGAAGTATAAACACCCTCACTGTAGGCCAGGCTTTAAAAAGTGGGTTCTGGGGTACAGAACTCAGGTCCTCACACTTTACTGACTGAGCTATCTGCCCAGTATTTGTCTGCCTTCTCTTTGCTGGTTACTGTGTGCTCACGGCAGCAAACTGCCCACAGCAGAAAAGACCCAAAGAAACCACCCGAGGATGAACATGTGAGGTAACTTCCCCTCAAAGAATTTGTCATACATTTTTTCAAGGATATGAACCTGTGACTCAGGAATTTCTTTTCCTAGTTATTTAGAACATGTCTGTTGGTGATTGTCTTTTGCATAGAAACCAGAAGAAAGTCCTGGTAATTCTGATGCACACTTACCTGTGCATATTCATAGTTTCATGCATAGCTGTATAATAATGAGCAGAGGCCCTAAAGGTGTCAAGGTATGTGTATCTCTTTTTGAATTGTTGTTATAGGATGTGCACACACAGAGAAATGTTTTCTGAATCACAACAGAAAGCTGCTTTAGCTAAAGTTGAAACTAAATTTATTTGAAAACTAGGTTATTGAGGGTAATTCACTTTAGAAAACCATAACAAGATGTATTCCTTGAGACTCTCAGGTAAAAATTATAAAGTAATCCATCTGTCTCTCTGACAGAGGATCTGTTGCTTAAGGGAAACATTGACAATCCAGATTCATGTCTTATTTCATAGCTGAGGAAACACATGCATACATACAACTAGTATGAAGTTTTGTGAAAATGGATTATTATTAAATTAATAATATCTACTGAGTGTTATCAATTATTATAACCCATCATTCCACTTCTAAGAGGTGCTTGTATGGTGGGCATTATTTCTCAAGAAGGCACCAGCAACTCTGATAACACTGGGGCTTTCAGTGTTTTATGGGAAATTCTGTGGTTCCATGGAGGGGTCTTAAAGGTCAAAGGAGGAATGAATATCAAGGTTGTGAGCAGTGAGCATGGCCACCTCCCCTCACTGTGCACAGAGCTGTGTTTTGCACATTGGGATTCTGCCTAATGTTATTGTTAAATGCATCTTTCTGCGAAATGAGGCTATAAGCTACAGCATGTCCAGATTACAGCCACTGTGTGAAACCATGTCTCAATGCTGGGATCTGGTTCCTTCTTGGTACAGTGTTCTAAATTTAGTTTTTCTCCAGAATCTGGGGGCATCTGATGAGCCTCAAGTACTCTCCCAGAAGAAGTCACACAAACACAATTTTACAGCAAATATAGAAGGCTCATGGGGTCATGAAAATCTAATCAAAGTCTGGGTTAAAAATGTCAACTCAGCTAGGCATCGTGGTGCATGCCAGCACTCCAGGCATTCAGAAGGCTGAGGCAAGAGGCCATTCTGGGACATCCAGGGTGCCCTATCTAGAAAATCCAAAAAATAAAACAGCCAAGACAACAACAACAACGATCCAGCCTTAGATCCCGTTTAGTACAGGATCCCTGATTGAATGAGAACAACAACTTGGGGTCACTGTTGGGCTGTGTTTGGAAGTGGTGGGTAATTTTTTTGGCACAGCATTACATGTAGGACCACTTTTCTATGCAAAATGTATCTTTCACCAACCTTCAAGAATTACAACAGGCGGCTGAGGCAGGAGAATTGTCATGAGTTCATAGACAGCCTAGGATACTGAAATTGGGGGATATAGGGTGAGATAGTTTCTCAAAAATAAATGCACACCATCCCCCAAACAAACAAGCCACACGCTGGCCATGTGGTTCTTTTGACCGAGTGCTTCAGCAGCAGTGATTTGTGAAGAACTACGGAAGTTAGTCACCTCACCACAGCAGTGGCCAGGGAAAAACCTGCATTCTTGCTCTAAACGCCTCTGTTATAATTTTGATGAAGGGTCCCCCAATGGCTTCATGTATTGAAGGCTTAGTCCCTGATGCAAACAGTGTTCAGAGGTGAGAATCTGAGGGACTGGACTGGGAGGGATTCAAAATCTGAATAGACTGGAAAGATAGACCTGTGGAAAGTGGGGGCTGGATGGAGGGCAGAACTCCGCTGTGGTTGTATCTTACACTGGCCACTTCTAGACACTGCTCCTTTTTGTTTTGTGGTTGCTGTGAGGTGAACAGTTTTCCCCCACCATACCTTCTGTCATGGTGAAAAGCTGGCAAACCACACAGGCCTCCTAGCTCTACATGAACCAAAATAAATATATTCAGTGAACTATTTTTCTCAGGTAATTATCAGAGACAAAGAGCTAACACGTCTGACACCTGGGTCTGAACACACATACACACACACTTTCTGCCTCCTCCCTCTCCTCTCTCCCCACCCCTTCATCTCTTCCTCTTCCCTGGAATATGCATGCCTTTGGCTTACCTGGGGCTGATACGGGCTTGGCTGGCTGAGACATCAGCTGTGTACCCATCCAGCTTTCAGAAACGTCTGAGTCATGTGATTCAATGAGAGAACAGTAGGGATGTGGAGAGGCGTAGGGACTGCAGCACCAAGGACTCCGATTGGGTAGAGTAGATGGCCAGATTTCCTTTTCTCTATAACAAGACAAAGACCAACTTGAAATCTAAAGGCATTTTATGCAGTGGCGTCAGTATTGGAGGTGTATTAGAAAGAAAGCCTATTTAAAAACCCAGTGTGGCTGGAGAGATGCCTCATCAGTTATCAGCACTGGCTGCTCTTCCAGAGGACCTGGCTTCAGTTTCCAGCACCCACACGGTAACTCCAGCTGTAATTCCCGTTCCCAGATGCCCTCTTCTAGCCTCTGAGGGTACTGCATGCACATGGTAGATACATACAGGCAAAACACCCATACACATGAAATAAAAAAATGAATCATAACAGTATTCTAAAAAACAAAGAGTATATTTTTTCTGGATCTTGTAGGCCTAGCATTTATCTCATCACAGCATTTGCTTGAAGAGGAATGAAATCCTGCAACTCTCTCTTCAGCTAGCTTGAGGACAGAGTTCTTCAGCATGTTTCTGTTTTCACTTGAGCCTGCTAAGCACATGGAGACAACATCATCTTTCCATCCCTGTACACTTTCCTTGCCTCAAATAGCACACAGTGCCAAGGAAAAGGGCCCCAGTGACCTCATGATTATCCACCAAAAACATTACCCTCCAAAGTCTGTACATAGGTGTCTGCTCTCTCTACGGTGCATACATTTGTATGGGAGCCATGGCCAATTGACTGATGAACCATACATCTGCTCCTTCCCACATGCTCAGTTACTGATGGGGGAAGAACTCAATAAATAGGCAAAATGAAGTATCCTTTACCTCACGAGGGAAGGGTAGATGTGCTCTATCTGACATTGCGAGGACTCTTTCTTTATTGATTCTTGCTTTTCCTTGTTTGTGGAGGATGTAGATGTTGCTGTCCACCCGAACACATGGCTTTTCATTGTTGGAACCACTACTGAACATCTCTCAAATTCAATATCAGTCTCTAACTTCTCCCATGCTTGCTTCCAGTGGATCGGAGTATACCAGGCAATGGCCTAATAGAAATGAAGAGGTTCTCAATATAAAATATTATTGGAGTTGTATGTATTCACTGCCATAGCCCTATTGCATTGTTATTTGGTTTTGGTTTCATGTTTTTCTTTGTGATAGGTTCTCACTCTGCAGTCTAGGTTGGTCTGGCACTTGCTATGTTGTCCAGGCTATTCTAGAAGTCATGGTGATCCTCCTGCTGCAGCCTCCAGAGTACTGGGATTAAAGGTGTGAACTTTCACACCTTAGAATTTATTTATAAAATAAATTTTATTGTGTTGTTTTCAACATTAATTGCAGAATATGTATATATATATACATATATACATATATATAAACATATCTGTGACAAGTGAAATTCACTTTAGAAAGTCCCAGATGCAATACCATTTAAGTGTTTATATTCTGTGTGCCATGCATTAGATCTCTAGACTAATTCATGCTATGCATTTTCTTTGGGTATATACCAACAGACACACTTCTGGATTGCGTGTAAACTCTGTTGTGGTTTCTTTAGACAGCCCTTCCCTGAGCTCCCACTATGAAGAATGGATCTGCTCCCTCTGGACCTTAAATGCAAAACAAGGGCCTGGGAAAGTACCAGAAAGCACTGCCTGCCGTTTTGTGGGCAGCCATCTTTGGTTTGCTCCCTGCAAATCTGAGATTGTGTACTGTCATCACTAATGTGTTGAGTCTAGGGATTTTCAAAACAGGGCAAGATGTTGTCCGTCATGTACGCTGGAGTCATGTAGGATTCATGGCTACAGTTTACCCTCACTCGATGTCTGGTGGAACCTCAGTCCCATTGCTTCATTCAACATGTGGACAGGAATGAAATTTCCAGGAAAACCTTTCTTGCAATTGTAAGGAAGGACTAGTTTCATTGAAGTAAGAATGGGAGTGATTTTTTTTTCAGAACTGTGTGTTTTTATTAGGGTCTCATGTGGACAAAGAATCTCCTCACCTTCTTCTCACTGTGGATTTCTAACTGAAGAATGCTAACATTTCATCACAGCTGGGTTATTCTAACCAGATGTAACCCAAGGGATGGGGCAGGAAGTTTGAGATGAGTTCTGAAGAGGAGGCAGTCTATAGGACATGGTGTGGTTTGAATCTGAAATGTCATCTAGTTTTGTGCTTTGAACATTGGTCCTCACTTGATGGCATGGTGAGGCTGTTAAAATTTTGCCAAATGCTACCTAGCTGAGCTCACCAAGGCCAGTTCACAGGCCTTGTGTTACCTCAAGCCTCTTCCTGTAAGTTCTGCATGCTTCTGCTACCATGATTTTTGCCCAAGTGCAAGAGCATAAGCAACTTTTGGGCTCAATTCTTTGAAACTGTGAGCCACGATAACCCTCTCCCTCTGCACCTGTCCATTGCTTTGGTTGTGGAAGTGCTGTTTTAGTTTGTATTCTGTTGCTGTGATAAACACCATAACCAAAGTGTCCTGGAAAGGAAAGGGTTTATTTGGTGTACATGTTCCAATCACAGTCCATCATGAAGGGAAGTCAGGGCAGGAACTGAAGCATTGGCCATGGAAGAACTCTGCTTATTGGCTTGCTCCCCTTGGCTCCTGCTCAGCTTACTTTCTTATCTAACCCAGGCTTACCTGCCCAGTGTCAGCTCACCCACAGGGCCATCCTTGTAGACTCTGAAAGTTTCCCTTGCATCAGGGACTCTGTAAAGCCCCCCTTTCCAGTAATCTCTCTCAGCATTCTCCCCCTCCACCCACCCTCAACCTGATTCCTCAAGTTCCCATGCCCACCCTCCCCCAGTCCACCTAGTAGAGCTCCTCTATTTCCCCTTACTGGGGAGATCCATGTGTTCCCCACTGGGCTCTCCTTGTTACCTAGCCTCTCTGGGTCTGTGGATTGTAGCATGGTTATCCTTTACCTTACAGTTAATATTCACTTGTGAGTGAGTACATACCATGTTTGCCTTTCTGGATCTGAGTTACCTCACTCAGGATTTGTTTCTAGTTCCATACATCCATTTGACTTCAAGTTTCCTGATGTCATTGTTTTTAACAGCTGAGTAGTACTCCATTGTGTAAATGTACCACATTTTCTTTATCCATTCTTCAGTTGAGGAGCATCTAGGTTGTTTCCAGATTCTGGCTATTACAAATAATGCTGCTATAAACACAGTTGAACAAGTGTCCTTGTGGCATGATTGAGCATACTTTGGGTATATGCTCAGGAGCTGTATCATTGCGTCTTGAGGTAGATTGATTCTCAATTTTCTGAGAAACTGCCTTATTGATTTCCAAAGTGGTTGTACAAGTTTGCACTCCCACCAACAATGGAGGAGTGTTCCCCTTGCTCCACATCCTCTTCAGTTGACATTTGTGTTTTTGATCTCAGACATTCTGACAGGTATAAGATGGAATCTCAGAGTCATTTTGATTTGCACTTCCTGTAGCTGAAGTTTTCTCCAGTCCTGCCTGGCCCACAGTCAGGACAAATCTCTCTCACCCACCAGTTCCACAGCTGCTCAGACCCAAATGAGTAAACATATAAAGACTTATATTGCTTACAAACTGTATGGCCATGACAGGCTTCTTGCTAACTGTTCCTATATCTTAAATTAACCCATTTCTATTAATCTATAAGTTGCTATATGGCTTGTGGCTTACCAGCATCTTTACATGTTGCTTGTCATGGTGGCAACTGGCAGTGTCTCCTGACTCAGCCTTCCTGTTCCCAGAATTCTCTTCTCTGCTTGTCCCGCCTATACTTCCTGCCTGGCTACTGGCCAATCAGCATTTTATTTATACAGAGCGATATCCACAGCAACTTCCCTGATCGCTAAGGATGTTGAACATTTCTTTAAGCATTTCTCTGCCATTTGAGATTCTTCTGTTGAGAATTCTCTGTTTAGGTCTATACCCCATTTTAAAATTGGATTATTAGGTTTTTGTGCCTAGTTTCTTGAATTCTTTATATATTTTGGAGATCAGCCCTCTGTCAGATGTGGGGTTGCTGAAGATCTTTTACCATTCTGTATGCTGCCATTTTGTCCTATTGACTGTGTCCTTTGTTTTGCAGAAGCTTCTCAGTTTCAGAAGATCCCATTTATTAATTATTGATCTTAGTGTCTGTGCTATTGGTGTTCTGTTTAGGAAGTTGTCTCCTGTGCTAATGCATTCAAGACTATTCCCTACTTTCTCTTTTCTCAAGTTCAGTGTATCTGGTTTTATGTTGAGGTCTTAATCCACTTGGACTTGAGTTTTGTGCATGGTGATAGATATGGACCTATTTGCATTCTTCTACACATTGGCATCCAGTTATGCCAGCACCATTTGTTGAAGATACTTTCTTTTCTTTATTGTAAACTTTTGGCTTTTTTGTCAAAAATCAACTGTCTATAGATGTATGGATTTATGTCTGGGTCTCCAATTCAATTCCATTGATCAGTGAGTCTTTTTATGCCAATACCATGCAGTTTTTATTACTATAGCTCTGTAGTAGATCTTAAGATCAGGGATGGTGATACCTCCAGCAGTTCTTTTATTGTACAGAATTCTTTTAGCTATCTTGGTTTTTTTGTTTTCTGTATAAAGTTGAGTATTATTCTTTCAAGGTCTGTAAATAATTGTGTTGGAATAATTGTTGATGGAGATTGCATTGAATCTGCTTTTGGAAAGATGGTCATTTTTACTATGGTATTCCTCCAATGATGAGCATGAGAGATCTTTTCATCTTCTGCTATCTTCTCCAATTTCTTTCTTCGAAGACTTGAAGTTCTTGTCATACAGGTCCTTCACTTACTTGGTTAGAGTTACATCAAGATATTTTATATTGTTGTTTTATATTGTTTGTGGCTACTGTAAAGGGTGTTGTTTCCCTGAATTCTTTCTCAGCCCTTTTATCATTTGTATATGAGAGGGCTACTGATTTTTTTGAGTTAATCTTGTATCCCACTGCTGGGGATGTCTTTCTGTATGTTGTGAATGTGTTTCTTTGATTGATTGATTGATTGATTAATAAATAAAACTCTGATTGGCCAGTAGCCAGGCAGGAAGTATAGTATAGGCAGGATAAGGAGAGAGGAGAATTTTGGGAAGTGGAAGCCTGAGTCAGGAGATGCTGCCAGCTGCTGCCAACGCCATGAGAAGTAAGATGTAAAGACACCAGTAAGCCACGAGCCAAATGGCAAGGTATAGATTTATATAAATGGGTTAATTTAGGATATAAGAACTAGATAGCAAGAAGCCTGCCATGGCCATACATTTTATAAGTCTCTGTGTGTTTACTTGGGTCTGAGTGGCTGCAGGAGCCGGGTGGACACAGGAAAACTTAGCTACAAATGGTGACAGAATGTGGAGCAAGAGTTGCCACCTAAAACCTGAGAAAGAAGATTCTAAAACAGTTTCCTAGTTGTCTTTCTCAAGTTAGCTGCAACCTGCAGGCTTGAGCTACTCTATGGCGGGTTTGTGGCATGAGGGCTTGACCTGCAGCAGGGAACGAGGCCTCTGCAAGCCACACATTACAATGCATGGTGAATTTAGCCTTTGCTAGTACAGACAAAAAAAAAGTTGTTGTTTCTGGGCTACACACTGCTTTGATAGAAGCATAGACCCACTGCTTCTGTGAGCTGATGGCACACAGGGCTCTCAGACCCAGCGCTGGTGGTAAACATGCCACCGCCATGTTGGAAAGCTGAGGTGGGAGGAGCCAGCAGTCACAGCTGCCATTTCAGTCCTAGAAATGCTGCAGTCTAAAGCAAGAGGTTCACAATAAGACAGGTTCAGATGGGATAGTTTGCAATGTGTGTAAAAGTATATGTAGACTTGCAAGAGAGACAAAAATAAATATATACAGTTATATAAAAATAGTTTTAAAAAATAAAGTCTTTAAAGAGAAAGTAAAAGTAATATAAAAAATAAGCCACATAAAGGTGGATATCACACAGAGAATCTGGATTGTCTCATCTTTGATATTTTTAACTGCAGAAAGACATTTGATTATAAAGGCTGCTCAGTTAAACCAATATGTATATTTTA